CGATACATTCCTTTCACACACTCCCCAAGCACTCTGAACAGCTCACCTTTTCCTTGTGGTTTGCCTACCTAGGTATCAAATGAACCCGGCAACCGCTACAACATCCAGCTGATTAATGCACTGGTGCTATATGTAGGCACTCAGGCTATTGCACATATTCACAACAAAGGCAGCACACCCTCGATGAGCACGATTACCCATTCCGCTCACATGGACATCTTCCAGAACTTGGCTGTGGACTTGGACACAGAAGGTAAGCAGAACTTCTCTGAGCCAGGAGCTTGCATCTAGTCTGAAATGGTTCTTGACACCACCTTGGTTAAGAGCAGATTGGCTCCACATTACTGTGGGAAAACCTGAAATGCCACTTAAAGGCTAGAGATTTTCTGTTACATGACACTGCATTAGAAGATCGTGCTAAACTTATTTGAAACACAATGGCAATTCACGAAGTGTAAAACTAAATTTGGAGTGAACACCATCTTAGCAAAACATTGATTCTTTCCATTACTGAAGAGTTGGTGCAGGGATCAGCTAGTCCCCCTCCTGCCTCTTTATGCAGTATGACCCTTTAAGTGTAATGAGTTTTGCTTCAAGATAGACACCAGAGTCATGTTCTCTAGGGTAATCTACACTGCAACGGGTGTCTCTGTCCTGGGAGGGTTTAATACATAGAATCTGCCCAAGATTAGTAGTAGTGAATAAGGATTGCAAGAGTTATATGTACGCTGCTTTGGCTTATAAACAGTAAGGTGTTCGAAAAGCAGGCTAATACTTGGCATGTAACACTTCATCTTGGCCCTTATTTTCCAAAGCACTTTATGAATATTAATTCATGTAATAGACTGTAAATTTGACCTAGGAATGTTGTTTTGGTTGAGAATTTTGAATCTGCACAATAAAAGGAAATATTCTTCAGCTTCTGGGATATCTGCAGACCTGAGGGGATGCACTGGTTTGAAGCAAATTTTATGAAGAGGAAGCCCAAACCTTGGTACAAGATCCAGATGGGATCAGTGTTATGAAGCACCCTCGCTTTTTTCAGCGTTTAAACCGAAGTGTCTTTAAATAGTGTAAAACCATACATCTGAATCCTTACGCAGTGCTAAGGTGCTTCCTTGTCTGTGTGCTGTCTAAGGGGAAGCTAATTACTTCCCACTAAACACCTATTTTCTCTTTCCAGGTCGGTACCTCTTCTTGAATGCAATTGCCAATCAGCTGCGGTACCCAAACAGCCATACACACTATTTCAGTTGTACCATGCTTTACCTGTTTGCAGAGGCCAATACTGAGGCTATACAGGAACAGATCACTAGGTGAGAAGGGATATTTACATTCACAACCTCTGTAGTTCAACTTTTCACTTGGCTTGAAATTAAATGACTTCTAGTCTTGGAGGCAGGTGTTGAGTTGTGTAATGTGAACACCTAGTGAAATTTGATACACAGGTTTGCTCTTGCAAGCAGTATCTTTTCACTGTGCTACAGTTGTGAGTATCAGTGTCTTCTAGAAGATCAGTGTTGAGCCTTTCCTGTTTTCTTCTTTGTATTTCAGGGTACTTCTGGAGCGATTGATTGTAAACAGGCCTCACCCATGGGGTCTCCTAATTACTTTCATTGAGCTGATAAAAAATCCAGCATTTAAGTTCTGGAATCATGAGTTTGTTCACTGTGCTCCAGAAATCGAGAAGTGAGTAAACGTTTTGTATGGCTTAATTACAAACTCCTGCTTGCTTTGGTCTACTCAGTCACATAACGGAAATATTAGTGAGATTATTCCATTTCATATTAAGCTGACCTTGACCTGTTAGATAAAATAGGCTACTATAATGCGGTCAGAAAGCAGGTGAAATAATTGCGTTTTGTAAGCAATGAGGTATGTCTATGTCCTTGTGTTGGCAGTAGAAATTGTTCTGCTCTCAGGAGAGTTTACTGTCCACTTGACTGTGCAGCCTGTTTACATAACCCCATGATGATGTGCTCCCATGTAATCTGCTAGCGGATAAATACTGTGTTTGGGAGTGAAGGGCAGCCTTCTTTATTCCTCTATCAGTCACGCTGAAAAAAGGACTCTATTCTAGGCTGTAGCTTCCAGACTGCTAGTTCAGAGTAGCATGTTAACAGACAGCTGATTCTCTGCCTATTGCTGTGTGGAAATGGGCAAGGGATGTGACCGGTAAGCCTCACCCTTTGCCTGGGGATTGCTCTGACTGGAGCAGGCCGTTTTCCCCCTCCTCTAGTTAACCCATGAAATTGGATTTTCCATCCCTAGACCCGGCTGTGGCAGAGCCAGCGCTATTTCTTGAGCCTGTTAGCCCTCACTCTTAATCTGAAGAATGTGCCATGTGAACTGGACGTTCTCTTATTGTAGCTTATCTTTCTGGTCGTCTGCGTGCACAGGACCGAGTGCTCTGATGTCCGTCCAAAGCACTTAGCTGAGTTGAGGGCTTGCGTCCCAGTTTGTAGGCATCCTAGTGTTGCTGGTGTCTGAAATGAAGATTTTTGAGACTCTGCGTAGCGCTCTAAATGTTCTGCTCTTCTGTCTGCATGTAGGTTGTTTCAGTCAGTCGCACAGTGCTGCATGGGGCAGAAGCAGGCACAGCAAGTGATGGAAGGGACTGGTGCCAGTTAGAGGAACTGCATCTTGTAAGCCTGCCAGCCTGGAGGTCCCCTTCCCATCAAACTGACAAGAAGAATCCTTAAGGCGCCTCCTGACCCCCCCAGCTCCTGTTTGGGTACACACACACACACCCTTGGGGGGACAGTCTGTGTGGGCATGTTCCAAAGTTTAATGCAAAATTTTGACTCTTGGCCAAAATTCAGAAGATGCTGTGAATATCATTTCGAACTAGTGTAAATACATGGAACCGAACAGTTTGTCTGGACTTCTTGGGTTTGTGCAAATTGTGTTAAAGGCAGGTGGATAACTGGTGCCTGTCCAGCTTGTAATAAAGGGGCAGCTGCTGATGCCAAGCACTTGTCTAGGGCAGACCTCCTTGTCCTGACATTCCCGGACTCCCAAAGAATATTGAAAAGCCAGTTTTAAATATTATGTAACTTATTTTTTTTTTCTTTGGATGGGGGACCTTTAAATCACTAAGTTGGTTAAAGTGGATGTGTTGGGATATGGGAATACTATGGAATGTGGGAGGGAGGGGTTGGGATTAAGGTCTAGTGGTGTTTCGCCCCTCCCCACTCATCCTCAATCAACTGCTGATGGGGAGGAGAGTGGGTAGCCCTCAGTCATCCTCTGTTGGCTAAAACTTCAGGCCCTTTGGGAGAGGGTCAGTTGTTTTTAATAAAGAAACCAGAGACCAGGCCTCTAGCTTTTTTTTTTCCCCCCTACACTTGTAAATTTTGGAAGGGGGGGACCTAAATCTAGAACTGTCCCCCTGTGGCCACACAGCATAAGTTTGTAAAAAGAACAAAAGGACCAATACAGCCCATTTTGTAAGGATTTTGAATGTTTTGTAAATGTATTGGTCCATGTGTTGTATTTTGTAGCCTTTCTAGTTCTTGGGCTTTAGTTCTCCCACTTCTTGTATGTATGCATACTGTAGTTACACATTAAAGTCATGCCATGCAGCCTGTCGCTCTGCCTCTTCTCTGCCGGGCCAGCAGACTCGGAGTTTTCCAAGGGGCGGTCATTGCTAGAATGCATTTCGAGGCATACACTAGACCTATGAGATTAAGTCATTGCTCGGGGGTGGGGTTCAGGATGCAGGCTGGTTTGCTGCAGCAGTTTGGGCCAGATGAGAAGTGCCTCTCCATGGCTGCTGCAGCTCCAGAGGGCACAGCCAGGGGAGAGGTGCATGTTGCATGGCTGAGGCAGGTCCTGATTCATTTGTACTCCCCAGCCAGAGTGAGGAATGGAGCAAACTATGCACTTCCCCCCATTCCCTGACAGCCAGCAATGGTCCTTTTACAAAGGGAGGGGATGGTGGTGTGGCTTCAGCTGCCCTGACCACCACAGATGGGGCTGCTCCGGCTCACTGTTACTGTATCCTTCTGAACAGTATTGTGCTTTTCATCAGCATAGTACTTCAGAGGCAGTTTTATTGTTCTGGCAGGTAGGCCACATGTACACTGACCTCCAGCTGCTGGTGCTCAGAGGCCTTGTTAGTTATTAGCAGGGAGCCTAGTTTTGTGGTTGAAGTGACACATGACAGCAGAATCCTGGCCCATTCTGTATTTTTCCATGTTAAATGGATTTCTAGTAGCCCTGGTTATTGGTAACTGCCACCACTAAAAACCCTGGGTTCCCAGCTAGCTCAGTCTGCACTATCCAACATCAACTGCTTGTCTTGGTGCAGTTTGTGCTGCTATGCAGTTCAGCTTAGCAGCCCCTGTCAGAACTGAATAGCAGCTGCCTAGCTAGAGACACTTGGGCCTGTCTGGTTTCCTCTTGATCAGTGCCTCATAAAGTGGAGCCTGTTCCTGCAAACCTGCATGAGGGAGAAGGCCACAGCCAGGTTTGTGTTTTGATGGGTGGTACACATGCTGCCTTGGGGCACAAAAAATATTCCACACATGGATGGAAAAGATTAGAGGGAATACTTGGTTGCAGTAGAGTTGGAGGGTGCTAGTCAAAGGCTCTTCCCTTTAGCGGGCATAAGAATTGAAGTCCTGCCATGTAGCTAATTCTAGCTGGGAGAAAGATGCAGGCCCATGCCTGGAGCCTTAGCACTGCCCCCAGGACTTACACCTGCCCCCTTCCCAGATAGGAAGTGCCAATTTCAGGTCTCAAGGGAAAGGCAGAGCTCAGTCCCAAAACTGCTACTACAACACTTTCTGGCAGTGGCAAGCAGGTCTGCCCCTCCTCCATACCATGCTGACTTGAAAGAGGCTTCTGTGGCAGTGGTGAGTAAGGGGAAATAAAGGACCTTGCTGTCAACTGGACAAGTACTAATCAGAAACCAGAAACACCCATTTAAAAGAACAGTCAATGGCAGATGTCATAAGACTTCCTTATCTGTGCTTTCACATGTCACAAATCTCTTCTCTGTGCAAACTGTCCTACCTTTATTTTAGCAAGGAGAAAGCCCCTACTCCCTGCAGCCCTGGAACAGAAGACATGTACAAATTCCTTTGCTTTCATGAAGGGTATAATGGGGCCTGCAAAGACCAGGCCCCCAAAAAAACCATTTCACTAAACTCCGAGCCCTTTTAAACTAAAAACGTCCTTAACAAAGCTCAGCACCAGTGTCATCATTCAAAGATGTGGCCTATGTTGAGTTCCTGAAGTGGTGCTTGCACCTAAGAACAGGCTGTAGAATTGTAGGCTCCCAATGACTATCATCCCTTCTAACACATGGCCTAAATCATTTAGCTGCCCACTGCAGAGTCTTAACAGGGAAGGCAGCTGAGCAAGCAACATTGCCAGCTTAGCTATCTAGCCTCCCCAAAGCAATCCAGCCTGGTACTGGCTACAAAAGGAGCACAGCATCTATCAGCAGTAAAAGCCAAGCTCCGTTTGCATCTGCTCAGGCTTTACCACCTGCAAACCTGAGTGACAGGATGCTAGCTGATAGCTCTGTCTGCTTAAAGAGCAACCCATGAGACAGAGCTAAGTCCAAGGGGGAGGCACTGGGCTGTCTATAGCGTACCTAGGACTGTGAGAGATTCCACTGGCTTTAGGCTGAAAAAAAGCAGCCTTACACATTAGTGGTAGCACTGACCTTTACCATTGCACCTACCCACTCAGCTGCTTGGGGCGGGTATTTGATGCCTTTAATAGTCAAGAACCCCTTAAAGGCACAGGCACTGAGTTTCATACCTTGTAACAGCCCCCTCATTCTATGACACCATGCCTGATGGGTAGTCACTGCTGCCACGACAGGCATTCCTTGATCTGAGTTAGCTTGACTAGACTGGATGTGCTTCCTTAACACTCAGGCATTGCTGGTTCTTGAACACTGAAGGCTGAGGTTTAATGAACAGACTCTCTCCTCCCTATTAAGCCAGGGGTGTCATTTATGGAAAAGTCAAGAGGTAGCTGGAAAGGCCAGTACAGAACTAGGAATTATTGGGTCCACATCAACTCTGTTCTTCCTCAGTACAAGCAGCCTCTCCATCCATCCTGAGAGCAGGAGCCAGAGCGTGTGCGCTTTGTACAAAGGCTGCAATCCCTGCTCTCACCAGCCCAGGTCAGCCTCTGCTAGCTCGCCAGCTCCAGCAACTGGTGCAAGATCCTCTTCTGCCCATAGCGCACTTGCAGGGCTGCTTGTTCCCTGTGGCTCAATTTCCCATAAGCCACTTTGTTATTGAGCAAGTCCTGCTCTGCTTTCAGATCTGAGCTGTAAGACTCCAGCGTCAGCAACGCGCTATCACGGAGAAGCTTCTTCCAGGAGGCTTTGAGTCGGGGTATCGTTTCGTTGGACAAAGTAAAGCTCTCTTCATCCTCTGTGTCTTCTTCCCAGCCCTCATGCTCCTTGAACTCCTGGAACTCCTCGGCAGCCATGCACAGCACCTGCAACCAACCACACCCCCATTCAGGCAGTGACATGGAAAGAAGGGACAGAGTCTAGGGCCCAGTTTTCAGCTACTGAACACTAGTTCAGGGTAGAGAGGTTAAAGGGCAAGTAACTGACTAATCAATAGGGCACCTCCGTCTCTGTAGTGTAGCATCAGCCCTAGGGCTACACTTCAAAGGCAGATGCGCTGGCATGGAGGCTGGGGTCAGCTGAAACTTCATGAGGAGCTGGACACCAGGCTCCCCGTGAGGATTCAAAGCAGGAGCACCACACAGAGCCCAGGGTCAGCAGGGGAGTTCACAGGATGCTGCTGCTTTGAAGTACTCCCTCCTCTCCCCCCTCTTTCTGATAGAGGCAGCACAGGGAGGGTGGGAGCGCCTAGTGGACTAGCCCGTCACATCCTTAGGTTGGGAGGGGAGGGGGGAATCTCCACTAAAGCTAGCAAATCAACCCCTCAGGAGGCCCAGGGAGATGCACCGTAAGTCATTATGCAGGAGGTAGTGAATAACCATCCACCAAATGTCCCAGCTGAGCACATGCTCTTCAGTGCAGGATGTGGGCTTCAGGACTTAGGACAATGACAGTCGTGCAATAAAACTAGGAAAGGCTGCTGGTGAGTTTCTTAAAGCCCCTGCTATTAGTGGCTGAGAGTCTGTTTTCATCTTAAGATTTCCAGCCCTGCTGATTCCAGAGAAGAGATTAAGTTAATCAAATGTACAGTAAAAGCCTCAAGTAGGCAAATAATGCAGCTCTACATTTAAGATTCTGTGGGTCCAATTCCAGGTTTTTCAGCGCTGCTACTGCACAGGGCCTTTCGGCAGGGCATCAGATACTTTGCCAGCTTCATGCCGGCCGTCACAAGCACAGACCACCCACTACCCATAGCCCCTGACTGTTCTCTTAACTTCCTGGGAAGTTTCTTCACCACATTCCAAGTCCCTGCTTCAAAATGGACATTGAAATACAACATGGCCATAACCAGACATCCCCCCTGTGTGTCAGCGCAAGGATTCAAGGCCTCTAGGAAGCACACCAAACTCCTTCCACCCGGAAAGGAGCGCAAACACACTAGACTACAACCTTGGATTCCATCTTCACACTTAGCCTTCCCAGCTCTGAGTAAAGCTGTAATCACGTGAAGGCAAAATTCCTCCGTCCCCTCTAATCCTACAGTAAAAATCCCTCTAACAGGACAACATACAGTATTCACCAACTATCCGAGAGCAGCTCCATGTCCACCATAGGCCATTTGACAAATCAGGTTAGCTCCCCTTTAGGCAGGTTCTACCTGTAACCAATCCCGTATTGAAGGTACAACAGCAGCAGTTGTCTGAGCCTTTGGAGAAGACTCCCACGAGGTAGGATCACAGAATCAAAGAGCTGGAAGAGACCTCACGAGGCATCAAGTCCAGCCCCCTGCTCTAGGCAGGACCAATCCCCACTCAATCAAACCAGCCAGAGCTCTGTCAAGCAGAGACTTAAATCTCTAGGGGTGGAGATTCCAGCACCTCACTGCAGATGTCCCAGTGTTGTCACCTAGCGATGGAATTGCATCCGCCAGAGCACTGCTCACCTTCAACGTCATGGACAGCTCTTCCTCCGTCAACACCTCCTCCCAGCCAATCACAAAAGCGCCTTCTTCCCCCACCATCTCCAGCTGGCAGAGGAACTCCCACTGCTCAGAGACTAGCTGGCGCTCGGCTTCAGTGACAGCGCCTGTTGGAGGACCACCGGGGAGACAAGTCAGCCACACACACTAGACAGGATAGGAGACCATCTAAACACGGGCCAGTAATTCAACAGCCACTAGTGATTCCGTACCGTCGCCTGCACTGCCGGAGAGGCCGGACTGTGCTCAACACTTCGTGGCACTCGCTTAAAACATAGAGGCAAGAAGCACTTGTGAAATTTGTCGCCATGACCTTCCATGAAGATGGCCGGTGGCCAGGCTCAAGGAACCAGCTAAGAACGGCCTGGAAGCAAGGCTGCTGCTCACCTTCCATTCATTTGGGGAGCAAAATTTCCCTCAGATCTCCCTGGAGTAAGGGACTTGATAGAGGTCTATAAAATCATGACTGGTGCGGAAAAGGTGAATAAGGAAAAGTTCTTTACTTATTCCCACAATATAAGAACTAGGGGTCACCAAATGAAATGAATAAGCAACAGTTTTATGAAAGGAGACTCAAGGAGCTTGGCTTGTTTACCTTAACCAAAAGAAGGCTGAGGGGAGATATAATTGCTCTCTTTAAATATATTAGAGGGATAAATGCCAGGGAGGGAGAGGAATTATTTCAGCTCAATACCAATGTGGACACAAGAACAAATGATATAAGCTGGCTAGTAGGAAGTTTAGACTCGAAATTAGGCGAAGGTTTCTAGCCATCAGAGGAGTGAGGTTCTGCAACAACCTTCCAAGGGAAGTAGCGGGGGCAAAAGACCTATCTGGCTTCAAGATTAAGCTAGATGGGTTTGTGAAGGGGATGGTTTGATGAGGTAACATGATCTTGGCAATTAATTGACCTTTCACTTTCAGTGGTAAATAGGCCAATGGTGGGAAGATAGGAGTTGCTATAAAGAACTTTTTTCTGGGTGTCTGGCTGGTGAGTCTTGCCCACATGCTCAGGGTTTAGCTGATCGCCATACTTGGGGTCGGGAAGGAATTTTCCTCCAGGGTAGATTCGCTGAGGCCCTGGAGGTTTTTCGCCTTCCTCTGTAGCATGGGGCACGGGTCACTAGTGGGAGGATTCTCTGCATCTTGGGGTCTTTGAACCATCATTTCAAGGACTTCAATATCTGAGATATAGGTGAGAGGATTATTCTAGCAGTGGGTGGGTGAGATTCTGTGGCCTGCGTTGTGCAGGGGGTCAGACTAGATGATCAAAATGGTCCCTTCTGACCTTAAAGTCGATGAGTCTTAAAACAAACAAAAGCAAGTTTTTCTTCACTCAGCGCACCTTCAACCTGTGGAACTCCTCGCCAGAGGATGTGGTCAAGGCTAACACTTTAAAGAAGAGCTGAATAGATTCATGGAGGTTAGGACCATCAATGGCTGTTAGCCAGGAAGGGTAGGAATGGGGTCCCTGGCCTCTGTCTGGAAATGGGTGACAGGAGGGATCACATGAGGATTACCTTATCGTGATCCCTCCCTCTGGGGCACCTGGCATTGGCCACTGTGGGCAGACAGGACACTGGGCTGGAGGGACTGTTGGTCTGACCCAGTCTGGCCGTTCTCTGCTGGGAGCACGAAGCCATTTAAAGGGCTGCTGATCCGGCCACAGTCGTGGGGTCTCCCCGTGCTCCAGGCCACTCACCCTGCAGTGCAGCCGTGCGCACCGTCACCATCTGGATGTCGGCAGTGTCGTCCGTGTTGCCAGGATACGGCTCGGCAAAGCCGTACATGTGCATGAGCTGCCAGTTGGCCATCTGGCCGTACGTGTTGAAGATCTCTTGGCCTTTGCGGACGGGCTGCGTGGTGACCATTTTCAGACACTCCTGTAGGCAGAGGGGTGGAACAGGCAGGGAGGTGGGGGCAGCGTCGTGGGACTCGATGGAAGAGGTGGGGGCAGCGTTGTGGGTCTCGTTATGGGGCCAACATGGCTGCATCTCCCTGTCAGGTCTGCAGGGAAGCCCCCCGCCCCCCCAGAGTGGCCAGGACTTGAACCTGCCACCCTGCCCAGCACGCTATCCCCTAGGCCACGCCAAAACCCACCCCACCACCTTAGCTTCAGGCCTTCCCTTATCCCTCCTTCCACCGGGACAGCCTGTGTACTGGCTACCCCTATTGCCTGGCAAAGACAGGAGGGTTTCTCTCTCTCTCTGCTCTAACACCTGGTGCAACAGGCTGAGCCGAGGCAAGTGACACTTGGCCCCTCCGTGCTCCTGGCACAAGAAAGAAGCTTGGTGGCCCACATGACCACAAAGCTCTGTCCCCAGTTGCCCGGGGGGGGGGGGGGGGGGGGGGAGGGGCTATGCAACCT